GTGGGCGAGGGAAGCTCGCCGCGGTGGCCTCGTCATTTCCACAAACGCCCAAGTCAGGATTTTTGTGTCACGGGTGCCAGGTTTTCGCAATCTCTGCGAAGGGCCAGTTTGCCACCCTCTCACCTCGAAGCTCGAAAGTCACTGGGGTAAACAGGGCAGTCTCGTAGAGCCTATGATCTGTCGTATTTTCTGCGCCCTGCGAGTTCGGCTGACGAGCAGCCGTCGTTCTCGCTGGGCTGCCTTTCTTCCGTGCGGCCTCCCAGCTGCCAAGGGCATTCCGTGGGTGAGCTCTCCGTGCGCGTCCCCTGACCTTTTGTCCGCTCGCTGCCATGAGACCCGGGTGCGGGGCGCCTGGCCGGGCCCCGTGTGCGTAAGCGACGCAGAGAGCGGGTTTGCTCATGCGGGCAGTCGCGCGTGCGTAAGGTGCCCGCGTGAGATGCAGAACAACGGGTTCGCTCGTGTGGACACTCGCGCGCAAGCTGCCCGCGTAAGGTCGTGCGTCAGCGCGCTCGCTTCCAGTGCGGCGTGCCGCGCTGGCGGCCCGCAGGAGCCACCGCGTAAGCCAAGTCGGGCATGTCCCTCTACAGGAGGAATATTCAAAGATAGTCAAAAAATGGTCTCGAGACTATGGGCCGCTATTCTTGATGACTATGTTTGAGCATTTTTTCCCCACATCCTGAGTGGGGTTCTTGTTTTCCCAGAACACCCTCTCCTTCCCACCCACCTCCCGCTCCATCTTCCATACAGCACAATATTATTCCTATCACACACACCATACCATACCATAGTTCCTACCACACATACCATACCATACCATACCATACCATACCATACCATACCACACCATACGCCCCTCCCACCCCTCCAGGGAGGCCCCGCCTGAGCGAGGAGGGTATCGGAATACCATACTACTTACATGGTTTCGTGCCCCTCCCACCCCTCCAGGGAGGCCCCGCCTGAGCGAGGAGGGTATCGGAAAACCATACTATTTACATGGTTTCGTGCCCCTCCCACCCCTCCAGGGAGGCCCCGCCTGAGCGAGGAGGGTATCGGAAAACCATACTATTTACATGGTTTCGTGCCCCTCCCACCCCTCCAGGGAGGCCCCGCCTGAGCGAGGAGGGTATCGGAAAACCATACTATTTACATGGTTTCGTGCCCCTCCCACACCTCCAGGGAGGCCCCGCCTGAGCGAGGAGGGTATCCGAAAACCATACTATTTACATGGTTTCGTGCCCCTCCCACCTCTCCAGGGAGGCCCCGCCTGAGCGAGGAGGGTATCCGAAAACCATACTATTTACAATGGGAGGCCAGCGTGGGTACCGAAAACCATACTATTTACATGGTTTCGTGCCCCTCCCACCCCTCCAGGGAGGCCCCGCCTGAGCGAGGAGGGTATCGGAAAACCATACTATTTACATGGTTTCGTGCCCCTCCCACCCTTCCAGGGAGGCCCCGCCTGAGCGAGGAGGGTATCGGAATACCATACTATTTACATGGTTTCGTGCCCCTCCCACCCCTCCAGGGAGGCCCCGCCTGAGCGAGGAGGGTATCGGAATACCATACTATTTACATGGTTTCGTGCCCCTCCCACCCCTCCAGGGAGGCCCCGCCTGAGCGAGGAGGGTATCGGAAAACCATACTATTTACATGGTTTCGTGCCCCTCCCACCCCTCCAGGGAGGCCCCGCCTGAGCGAGGAGGGTATCGGAAACCATACTATTTACATGGTTTCGTGCCCCTCCCACCCCTCCAGGGAGGCCCCGCCTGAGCGAGGAGGGTATCGGAATACCATACTATTTACATGGTTTCGTGCCCCTCCCACCCCTCCAGGGAGGCCCCGCCTGAGCGAGGAGGGTATCGGAATACCATACTATTTACATGTTTCGTGCCCCTCCCACCCCTCCAGGGAGGCCCCGCCTGAGCGAGGAGGGTATCGGAAAACCATACTATTTACATGGTTTCGTGCCCCTCCCACCCTCCAGGGAGGCCCCGCCTGAGCGAGGAGGGTATCGGAACACCATACTATTTACATGGTTTCGTGCCCCATCCCACCTCTCCAGGGAGGCAAAACCATACTATTTACATGGTTTCGTGCCCCTCCCACACCTCCAGGGAGGCCCCGCCTGAGCGAGGAGGGTATCGGCAAACCATACTATTTACATGGTTTCGTGCCCCTCCCACCCTCCAGGGAGGCCCCGCCTGAGCGAGGAGGGCATCAAGAAAATGGGTCCCACGAAACCGTTAATCTCTTTATGTGGGGAACTCCGTTAGCATAATTTTTTGGTTTTTCCTCACACATCCGCTTGTACCAGGAGGGGACAAAATCACACAGACACAAGGCATCGTCGACTCCCAGGAAAGTATGGGAAAATACAGGAAGTGGGGGGGGGGAAGACGACAACCCAGAAGATACGGAAAGAGATATGGGGAATCCTGGGATTTGTGTTTATTTGCTTGTGTGTCCCCAGGCCCCTTCACCGTAGGAGGACCCGCCCGACCTCAGCGCAATGTCGCTGTGCCATGGCGCGTAAGGCTGGCCTCTATACGTCGCTCATCGCCGTGTGTGGCCGGGCTCCCCGCCTCGCGCGGAGGCCGTGAGAGGGCCCCGCGGGGCCCCTGTGGGAGCGCGATCCTGGAAGCCTTTGGCTCTGGCTCCTCCCCACTCCTCCTCCTCCTCCTCCTCCTCCTCCTCTTCCTCCTCCTCCTCCTCCTCCTCCTCCTCCTCCTCTCCTCTTCTTGTTCCTCTTTTTCTTATTCCTCCTCCTCCTCCTCCTCCTCTTCCTCTCTCTCTCCTCCTCCTCCTCCTCCTCCTCCTCCTCCTCCTCTTCCTCCTCCTCCTCCTCCTCCTGGGCACAGCCTGGGGCGCCACAGAGTCTATGGTGCCTCAGCAGGACCTCGAACGCGGCTAGGGGCGCACCTTGCAACCGCCATTAGCCGCGCCCATCGGACACACTCCGCGCCGTGCGCGGGGCCGGGGAGCAACGGTGCGAGGGTCACTAACGGCGCACCGCCGGGCAGTCCCCACTCGCACCGCGCCCCCCGTTGGGTAGCCATTGACAAGGATTAGGGCTCTGGGAGCAGGCGATAACCTGCATACCTCAGAACCCTCTTGGCTAAACAGTACTCGCCCCGTCTCAATCGTTCCAGGATAAGGCGACGATCCTTCGAAAGATGACGGGGCTGGCACTCACTCGCAAGAGACACCACGCGCTGGGTGGTGCATGCAGCGCAGTGAGTGCAACAAAAAACCTGGGTTTCGCCCACGAACAGCGAGGCCACACGATGATGCTTGGACCCAGCGGCCTTCAGAGAAACCTGAGCCTGCTGGATCCTTTGCTCTAAGGTGGGCGGCTCTGGCTTGACAATGATTAGGGAGGGGGCTGAACGTGCAGAGCGCTGGCGGTGCAAACAGTCTACAGATGCAATGGCCTCACCCGCCCTGGCGGCCCATTTCCCCGTAAGACTGACCATTCTCTTCTGCATCAACGTAAGCTTCTGAAACTGGGGATCGGGCCGCAGGACACGAGCACGACTGTTCGCAGCACCGTCGGCGGCATCATTTCCAAGTTTGTCTCGAAGCTTATACCTCCCCTCCGCAACCAGAAAGTCTGTCACGTGGGCTTTCACTTTCTTTACCTCAGGGGGGGTACCCCCCCAGTCATCGACTTTGTGCCATACGAGCTTCCAAAGACAGGCCCAAGCCGCCGACGCCGACGTGGTGTCAGCAGGTCCGCGGATATTGTAGCCTTTCCAAACGAAATCGGAATCCGTGTGCACGACAACAGGTGGCACCGCGAATCTGAGCACTGCGAACAGGGCATACAGCTCGGCACCGTCTATGTCCTGCAGCGGGTAGGGCAGGAGACCTGTGATGGTGCAGACAGCCGTGTCAGTGTCGGCGGCCAGCGCAACAACTGCCCATGCAGCAGTCCCGCGATGTGGATAATCAGTAAACAGTGAGCCATCAAGATAAAGATCCCCTGTGAGCTGTTGCGCATCCCCGTGCCATTCCACACAGGGCTCCGACGGCGTCAGCAGCACTGCCTGAGGGGCCTTGGGGAGCGGGACGAGCACACGCTCCAGCAACAGGCGCACCAGGTCATTCTGGTCCGCATGCGGGAGCATGAGTCTGATTGCATCAGGGAGTGGCTCTCCTATTGCCTCAAGCATGCTCTTGCAAACAGCGTGCCGATGCACGAGGGACCCAGGGGCCTCATGGCATGCAAGGCAACTCGGGGAGTCAATCCATCCTTGTTGAAATTGCCGATCTTGGGGCCACTGAGCTCCAATGATAGCACTCCTGAGGTAGCCACGCTGCTGCCAAGTGAGGTTCCCCTTGGCGCTCAGGAGGTACTTCAGAGGCCCATCCCAGAACCCAGTACGGAACTCGGGCATCTGGAGGTGCTCCGAAATCTGCAGGTTAACCCAGTGGCGCACCGCATGCGCACAGCAGTGCAGTAGGACCCTGGGGCAAATGTACTCGAGTTTCAGCTCCAGACCGTCAGGCAACTTCCAGACCAGGGGCTCAACGACGACGATCCCGACTCTGGCGAGCGTAGCGAAGAGGGCTCCCAGGGGGCCCCGAACTTGCGGCCACATTTGGTCCTTCCCAGACAACGCCAATCTAGCGGCCTCAAGGCCATGCTCTAATACATGACATGGCACGCGCGCCGCCCAAAGAACAGAGCTGAAAGCTTTGATAGGCTCCAGAGTAGCCCTCCAAATCGGGTCGTAGTTGGCCTGCGGCGCGAGCGCGAGAGCGAGAGTGCGGCTCTTGCCGCTGGTCTTGGCGTCGAGCGCCGCAGCGGCCTGGGATCGCAACACGTCCAGCTCCTTAGAGGCAGTACCCTGAACGGAGGTCCCAAAAGCAACCGAAGTCTCCAGGGCCGCCCTGGCCATGATGGCCATGGTTTTCCGCCTGGCCATGCCTCCCTGGAGATGTTTCATTCTCTTGAGCTTGGGTTTGGCGACCTTGATTCTGCCCGTCCTGGTGGCCCT